GCTTCTTAACCATTTTTATCAGAAATCTTTACACAGAACCCAGCTATCAAAACGATTCCTTCTAGATTATGTTCTGGCCTCCTATTAATGGATGTGTCCCTCCTTAAATCATCCCACTTCTCAAATATGTAAAAGCTCCAAACAGACTTTTCTAAGATCGTCTGAGGAAACCTTCAAGTGACTTTCTAACGTAACATGATTTAGGATCAAGTCAGCAGAAATGGTTCAAAGAGCCAGTGAGTTAGTCTGGAAAAGAGAGAACTCAGTGGGCCGATGATAGTAACCTTTGAATATTTTAAGGACTTTTAAGTAGAAGAGGAATAGTGTACATCTATGAAACAGATCAAATCATAGTATGGAGTTGTTCTAGATAATTATTTCAACACTAGAATGGGCAGCCTTGTGGACTAGTTCCTGTTACTAGAGCATTCAAGAAGAGACTGGACTAAGCAGCTTGCCTGAAATGTGCAGGAGATTCCTGCGTTGTTTTGAGTGGACTCAGTCACTCAAAGGACCCCAGTCCCTGATGAATCTATGCATCCGAAACACACAGTCCTTTGCTCTTAAAGATGTTCTTTTTCCTTTGTTTTCTTTTTTTTTCCTCAAGTGTGGTCTAGTAACTCAGAGGCTAGATGATACATTATTTAGAAAAAGAATGAAAGGGAATGTTAGGAAAGTTTGTTGTCAATTCCCTAAGCCACTGAGGAAGATATCATATAGGTCAAATCATTTTTCTCTGAAAAAGGTCTTCTGGTGCCTTTGTTAGTGTCATGACTTAAAACTAGATGAAATGCTAATCAAAATGAGGAACTTTGGTTTCTAATATAAAAAAGTTAATGTTTTTATAATTGAGGATAAAACCGTTTTTTAAAAACAGTTCGTAACAATGATAAATTAATTTTCATAGTTGTTGCAATGGTAATTGACCAGCTATTTTTTGGGAGGTGAACTGGTAAGTACGTCACTACAATCATTGCAATCAATGATTAACTTCAAGAGTGAAGAATCATTCCACAGATGAGTACAGGGCAAGTCCAGGCACTTCAGGCAGAGAGAAATGACTACGTGGTGCAGAAGACTGCAATGGAGCATGCCACATTCAGGTGACAGCTTGTGGAGGCTGAGCTGGAACTTGGAGTTTATGTGTCAGGAAGAAAAAGTGTGGAGTGGAGGTGGGCATGAAGGTATAAATGTGGGTCAACAGTCCTGAACCAGGGTCAAAAGGGCTTGGGATTCGAGACTAAATATTTTTTGTGTCTGCAGTAGGTATCCACTGAGAATTGTATAAAAAGGATTGTGGCTTAGAAAGATGATTGTCTGTAGAAAGAGGATTATGAATATAAAAACCAATCAGAAAGTTATTTTAGTGACCCAGGGTAATAACTGTATATTAACATGCGTCCAACTGGAACACACATTAAGGAAGAAGCTTACGTGTTCTGAAGTCAACATTTACGGAAATGAAACATGATGAATTCCTCAAATAAATGTCTGCAATTCTAAAATTCTAGTCTTTTAAAAATAATTACATTTTAACAAAATTACTGAATGTAGATCATGTTGTGGTTGAACACTGAAGCTGCGGCTCTCTTTTATTGCCATAAAATAATTAAATACTAGTTCTTAACCTGACATTTATTTCACAAAGCTGGTGTGTGCTCCCTACATGGGCTCTGTGCTGCCATGAGCTAATGAGCTGAGTTCAAATAGGAACCAGGGGGCTTTTCTAGACACATTGATTACTTACAGAGTTTCACTGGAAGCATTTTCCATTGTTAAAGCATGTTTTTGCATTTGCTTTTCTTTTAGCTCTATAATTTGCTTCTCTTCTCCAAAAATTGCTACAGATTTACGCACAGCAAGCTTGGCTCCAGACACAATGTCATTTTGGATTTCTAAAACAAAAGCTGAGCAGAAATGCACAAATTGCAAGAACATATTAGTTATGATCACAGAACACTAGGAATTTGAAAACATGTTAAAATGAAAATGCAGAACACTGCCAACTATTTGGTCTAAGAGAATGCGTTCTAAGTATAATTGATAGTTAATTGTTTTTTAATTGGATTTAATTTAATTTAATTTTTGTAGATTCTTTCCTCTCAAAATACTATCAGTCAAAAGTACTAAAAATAGGGGGTAACATCCAAAATATATAAAGAGTAATAAAATTCAATAACAAAAATCAACAATCAGATTAAAAAATGGGCAGAAGACCTGAAAAAACATTTTGCCAAAGAAGATACATTGGTGGCCAAGAGGCATATGAAAAGATGCTCAACATAACTAACCATCAGAAAAATGCATATCAAAACCACAATTACCTCACACGTATCAGAATGGCTATCAACCAAAAGACAAGAAAATATAAGTGTTGACAAGGATGTGGAGAAAAGGGAACCCTTGTGCACTGTTGGTGGAAATGTAGATTGGTGCAGCCACTCTGGAAAACAGTATGGAGGTTCCCTAGAAATTAAAAATACAACTACCATATGATCCAGCAATTCCACTTCTAGGTATTTTTTTGACAAAAACAAGAAAACTCTCATTCAAAAAGACATATGCATCCCCATGTTCACTGCAGAATTATTCAGAAAATCAAGATTCAAAAGAAACCTAAGTGTCCACTGACAGATGAATGGATAAAGCAGATGTGATATGTGTGTGTGTATATAATATACATATATATAACAAATACATATATTTATAATATATATTATATATATGAAATGGAATGCAATGGAATATTATTCAGACATAAAAAATAATGAAATCTTGTCATTTGCAACAACATGGATGGGCCTAGAGGGTATTAGACTAAGTGAAATAAATCAGATGAAGGCAAATATAATATCACTTCACTTATATGTGAAATCTAAAAAACAAAGCAAACAAAACAAAACAGAACAGACTCATAAATACAGAGTACAAATTGATGGTTGCCAGAGGGGTTGGGGGAGTGGGGAAGAGCAAAATAGGTGAAAGGGGTTGAGAGGATCTAGTTATAAAGTAAATAGACCAGGATGTAATGTACAGCATAGGGAATACAGTCAATAATATTTTAATAAATTTGTATGTTGGCAAATAATAACCAGATTTATTGCTGTGACTATTTTGTAATGGATATAAATATCAAATCTCTATATTATACACCTGAAACTAATACAATGTTGTATTTCAATTATTCCTCAATAAAAAAGGTGCCTAAAAGAAAAAAAAATACAGGCCTTTCCAAAATTAAGTTAGTTACTATAAATTCTGACTATTTAAATGGGCTACAGTATTTAGATAAATGTCTGGGATTCCAAACTCCTCAGTCTAAATTCCCAATGCCTTGAAAGATACAGGCAAAGCTTACTGTGCCATGTTTAATATATACAATAGGATGATGTTTTAAATTCTATTAGTAATTTTTTTTCCTTTGTCCTGGCTCCTGGGCAGCCTTAAGGGAGGAAGACCATGAAGTAATGAGAAATGTTACAAAAGGAAGGCATAAGCACAAAGGTCGTCCTGACACGCAAGTACAGCACATTGCCGTAAAACAATGGCCATAGAAGTCAGGATGACACTGTTGTGACACAGGACTTTTCCAAATCCCATTAGCTCCCATTTAGCCTATCAAGGGTTTAACCTCAGGGTTGACCTGGAGAAATCCCACCATTTCTGAGCCTGAGGCGATTTGAGACAGAAGACAGAGAAAGGCAGAAAGAAGCACATGGGTATCATGATTCCCCCTGCAGGTGCAACTTCAGGTATCTTGACTACATTAAGGAAATAGTAAGGGCACTGACAATTGTTCAAAACACTGTGATGAGTTACCTCCCGAACTGCCCTTGCCACTCCAATCTGAGACACAGCCATATAAAGCTGCAGGAAGTGTAGCATGGCCCAGATTTTGCTGAGAGTCATGTTGGGGGAGCTTTCCAGAAGTAGTTGCCAAGCAGGAGTGAAGAGGTCCTATAGCAAGAGCTCCATAGATGGCCACCCAGCCACAGCTGGGCTTCAGAGGAAGCAGAGGGAGCAGAGGGGAGGCTGAGTGAGGCAGGAAGCAGCACCTCCCCAGAGAATTGTCTGGGCCTGAAGAATGGAACACAGTCACCCAGCCTGACGTCAGCCAGCAGGACCCAGAGGCTTTCTACCCTAAGTTCTTTCCTTATGTTGAGAGAGGAGCAAAAGCGAAACTTGGAGACTGGGAAATCTGAAAACCCTCCCTAAAGAGACTATTTAAATTAACAGACGCAACAAAATTTAAACCTGACTGGATATTTACTGTTTTCTTAATGGTAATGCATGGGGTTCACAAAGAAGGCCTGATTTTCTTTATAAAGACAAAATAAAGAATTATGCTTTCTTTGCACATCCAATGTGCAGTGTGAATTAAAAGATATAACCCTGTTAAATACATAAATTAGTGTAAACAGCTAAACAGCAGATGTAGGAGTGAAAGATGATCTGTTTAAACAAACTTGGATTTTTTTTAAAAAAGGCAGTATCATCAAGCATTTAATTTTGGCTGCATATATTAAGGTAAATAATTCCAGTGCTTACCCTCTAGTTCACGTATACTGCAGAAAGTTTGAATTTTAGAAATATCTGATGCTAAGTTCCTAAGGAAGATTTGCTTCTTTTGCTGATCAATGGACAGGTCAGGATTGATCCAATGTTCTCCACATGAAACATACACCTAACAAAGAAATGAGTCTTGATACCATATGCAATGTTCATAGCAGCATTATTTGTAATAGCCCAAGTTGACTAAAAATAGGAACAATCAAAAATGTCCTACAATGGGTGAAAAGTTAAACCGTAACATCATGGAATAATACTCAGTGATAAAAAGGCACAAACTAATGATGAATGTAACAACTTTGATGGAGCTGAAGGGTTTGTACTAAAAAATTTCTCCATACTATCTTTGAAACTTCCTGTGATCTATAATTATTTCAGAATAAAAAGTTACAACATTTTTAAAAGAGGAGAGAAAACAAAGAATGAAAGGAGGAAGGAAGGCTGGGAGCAAGAGATGGTAGGTAAGTATAAATCAGGGGTTTGCAAACTATGGCTGAGGCCCAAACCTGGCCTGCTGCCTGTTTTTTTAAGTAAAGTTTTATTGGAACACAGCTAGGCCCATTCCTTTACATGTTGTCTGTGACTGCTTTTGTGTTACAATAGCACAGTTAATGTTTCAATAGAGACTGAACGGTTTGTAGATACTTAATATCTGACCCTTTACAGAATATGTTTGACAACCACTGGTACAAATGAACTTGTAGTATATGCACTAAAATGTGTATGCAGATATTGCTACATGATGAGATTATGGATGATACTTTCTCTTCCTTGTTTTGCTTATATGTATTTCTTAAATGTCCTTATACATCTCTTTGAAGTGAGAAAAGTCAGCAAGAAGAAAAATGACACTCAGTGTTGCTTTTTCTGAAGCCACTCACTGGTCATTATACATGATCTTTACATAAGGACCCAGGGAAAACTTTCTCAAACATTTCTTCTTTTTGAATAACAGGTTTCTTTTTTCTATTGTGGACATACTTAATCACATAACCATTAATATTTCAGTCTTCACATTGGCTGCTCAGAACAGTGACAGGTTCATTTCTAGCAATACACAGGATCTTATTATAATCACTCCCGGCTCCATCTTATCCCTTTTTACTCATGCTCCCTTTTTCCTGGTGGCCTCATCTTAAACTGATCTTTTTATATTATATGTTTTGATGCAATCTATCTTTAATTCTTCCTGAAATAATGGTAAATTAGCACAGCAGCAAAAACAAACAAAAGGATTAAAAGCAAGCAAACAAAAAAAATTGGAAGTGATAATGTTAAAACACAAAACAAGATCTACCAGACTCCAACAGGCTCTCCCCTCAGCCTTGCTGCCTCTCATGCTGGTCATTGGTACTTCAACTGAAGACTTTCTCGATGAGTCTTTTACATTAAGAGCCTGAGTTGAGTTCTAATAATGTGGTATAAGTTTGGTTCTCTGCTCAAAGATTTCAGGCATCAGTCAAGGTAGGTTTTCTTTTCAAGCTGATACCTCAAATTCCATAAATGGGAGAAAGACTGAGTTGCTAAAGTCCTTCTCAACCTCCTCCAGCCACCAAAATAGAATGTGTGAAACACTAGATATAATTTTTTTCTGAAAAAGTGAAATTATCAATAAGTATGAAACCATTAAACAGTTAAATTTTGAAGGCTTCAAAAGGAGGAGAGAATATACTTCCTTCAGAGTAGAAGACAGAAATCAAAAGCAGTTAATAATTTGGTCTTCTCCAGTTTCTGCCTTTGCTTATGAACTGGATATAATGAAGGCATCCAACTCATTGGATTGTGATAAGCATAAATGTGTTCATTCATATATACCCCTGAAAATTATGCTTGACACATAGTAAGCTCTCAACAGTTAGCTAAAGTTAGGTGAAGGTTTGCCAAGTTAAGATACTTCTGAGGGAAAATAAGAGGAAAAATGGTGTTTGAAGTCTTATATTTTAAAACATTTTTCCTCTACTACAATTCATACTTTAACATTTCCAGCCTCATATTCATGTCTTTACCAGGTCATCTCTTTGAAGGTCTTTCAGGGCAAAGATTTCCTTCCCCTTTTCATTGAACAGTCTCCGAGCTGCAGAAGGTAAATTTAAAATTTCAGTGCACCTGCAATAAGAGACAAAAATTGACCTTGCATAACAAAGCTTCCAGAAGTGAAGAGAGAAAAAGAAATCAAGGACTCAGATCACTAAGGGCAAATCCTGCAGCTGGGCTGTGAACCAGTCAACAGCCAGGCCCCAGAGCCCATCAGAACCTTCTGAGTTTCGATCCTCCTCTCCAAGTCCCGGCACTTGGGGAAATTTTATCACCTCTCTAAGCCTAAATTCCTTACCTTTCAGGTTGTCGTGAGGATTAGGGCTAATTTTGAAAAGCGCTTAGCACAGTGTCAGGCATGATCAACAAATATATAGGCCTATCATTATTGAGTTTTCATCCCTCAACATGCCCCACCCCTCCTACTGGAGTGCCTGGGCTTATGCTCCTCCATTCACCTGAAACACCTTCCTTGGCTGTTCCTGTCGAAGTTCTACTCTTTTTCCAAAGTCATATCCATCACCAAGAAGTTCCTTATCACTCTTCACCAGAAATGATCTCTACAGTCCTTTAACTCCCTTTGAAATAGGAATTTTTAGCCTAGTTAAACATTAAACAGTGATTTTTTTTTTCTCTCCCGAACAGTCACTGGGCCTGCCCTGTGGATATCAATATGAATGATAGTTTTCCTATTCCTGAAGAGCACCTTATCTAGTCGGGGAAAGAGACACGTCAGCAACTAAATACAATATGAAGTAGTGGGCACTGTGAGAACACAGGAAAACAAAACAAGAATTCCTCCAGGGAAGCCTGGTCTAAGGAAGTGACATGTGGTTTGGGCCTTGAAAGATGAATAGGAGTTCATCAAGAAGAATTAGGACTTAGAGAAGTTGTGTATGGTTATAGAGGAGCGTATGAACAGAAGGAAGGGCCCAGTGAAACTGGAAAAGACAGGAACCAATTTGAAGTTATTAGGATGCCAGACTAAATTGGCTTAAAGTAGGTAACTACCCTGACCTCAATTCACACAAATATGAAACTAAGAAAAGTACTATAAAAATTTGAAATACATGATTTTTAAATGAGAATAATTTATATTTAAAGAGTTGGTAGTCCAGAAGTTAGGAGAAATAACTAGACCCTGAAATTTGGGGGAAGATGTATTCATTAGCATGGGTATCATGAATTCACATAGATACATATATTTCACAGATTAAAAACTCCAGAATAATTATAACAATTGTTTTCTTATATAAGTACATATGTATTTTGTGTTATGTGTTATACATAATCATTCAGACATCTGAATGGAAAATACCTTTGCATTCAGGATAGTAAATTTTTACCTCTCCAAAAATTGGTGAAATTCAGTCTGATTTGTTTCTGTTTCTGAATATTTAGTGACACAGTTTTTCCCATTCTCTTTCCTTGAAGTGTCAACATTTCTGAAACAGATGAGCCAAGATTTGACTGACATATAGATATACATTGCCAATTATCTTTCATCTTGTTTAAATATATGAAAAAGTCAAGAGGTTTTAATTTATCGTGATTTTCCCTAAAATAATATGCCTTTCTTTAAAAAAAAATAGGATTTCAAAAACTATCACAGCTCAATATTAAACTTCATAAGCATTTATACTATGAGGAATTTATTTAAGAAAATTCATTTTCAATATTTTAATCCTCTTCTAATAATGCTGAACACTCTGAAATGTGAATTTATCAATTCTGAATAAAATACAGATATTACATTCATTTTGCCTGTGATGTTTTATTCATATATTGTTCATATTCATATATTAATCACATATTGTTCTGGTTATATCAATCCAAACCTAAAAAATTTTAAACTAAAAAAATAAGGTGATTATAGAAAAAGGATGGTTAATTGGAATATACATCTGCTTAAAAATTCAAGATAGAAAACTATTTGGTGTATTTCTGGGATCTCTGTACTTTATTAAATGAAAGATATAGTGGTCAAATACAGTTATTCATTCATTCATTAGAAATGGTAATCAAGTATAGTTCATTGTTAATAATTAATTAATCAATTAATTCAATACAGCACTAATTTAGTGCCTATTGGGGGCCCTAACTCATGTGGTGAATAAATTGATTTAATATTTGATTAATGAAGAAACACTGGTCCATGACCATATCATAGCAGACAGCACATATCTGGATAAACAGCTCATCATCCCTACTCTCTATCTCATGAGTGGAAACCTAAGCAGCTAATTGCAGCACAGAATGGTAGGAGCTGTGCTGGGGAAAAGCCCACGGTGATCACAGCAATGGCACATAGAGAACCTACAGCTAACTCAGGGGTTGGGAGGAGTGTTGAATTCAGAGTAAACACCTAGAAATCAAACCCAAACCCATTCTCAAAATATCTTTATTATTAGGGCATATTGGAGGTGTTGGGGAGGGGGTTTAAAAGTGGGAATGGTAGAGTATTGATAAGAGAGAGAGCTAGAGAAATATGCAGGGACAGGTCATGAAGGGCCTTCAAAGCTATATGAAGGAGCTCCAGTAAGTCCAGGGATTATAATTTACTAAAAACTTAAACCAAAATATCTAAAATATAAAGTTTAAAGCTTCAAATTGAGCCTCTCCTCTCACAATTCTTTAAAATATCACATATAAAATTTTCTTTGTTCAACTTAGCATTCTGAGAGATGAAATCATAGTGGTTCAAATTTATATGAATTTGACAGCCATCATTAAGAACAATTGGCAAGATCTTGTTACTCACTAAGAGTAATGATCAACAAAGTAATGAACAAATGACATTTGATCACCCTTTGGATGTGTAGATGGAGGAACCAACAAGAACAAAGCCTCTCAAAACCGTCTATATTGAATCATTAAATAACTAAAGGATAGCATGCTACCAGAGCAGGATTTCTGTAAGATGGATCTATATTTCATCATTCTAGCATGATTTTGTTTATAAAGACATTAAACAGCCCAACTCTCTTTCTTCTTATAAGTTCCAGGTTAATGCAAGTAATGTACTTTTCCATGCTTGTAGCATTTATTTCTTCTGGAAGAGAAGATAATTATCTTGGATAAATTAACAGTAGCACAGCAGGGCTTCTACCTTGCAACTCTGCATTCATATAGAATGCAATGTTAACAGTGCCCTCTGGAGTTGGGCAATGCCACTGCCCTACAAATGTTAGCCAAAACTTCCCATGCAGGCCTTCTGGTAACCAGTACTTACATACAGCTCTGGGAGTTAAAAAAAAAAAAAGCTATTGATGCTATAGAAAGCTTTCTGAATCAGCCAAAAAAATTAATGTATATTTAGAAAAGTTTTAGTGCCAAGTGCATGCCAGAGTATTTTAATTATTTGGGAATAATTAATTCATGTAGTGAACAAAGTGAAATCTTGATTAACCAGGCCCCACTGTTCTATGAACATAGACAGAGGAAAGTTTCATATAGGCTAGAATAGTTGTCCAAATGAACAAATCTCTCAAATTATGCTTGGATTACCTTATTGAACCATATATATTAAAACATCAATGTGAAAAGATTAAATCTGTATATCTTTGAACCCAAGCTAAAGATACAGTTTAAGAAAAAAATTAATATAGGAAGGGATAGAAATTATTTGTTAGTTCTGAAGGTTTTAAAAAAAAGTCATATATATTTTAAGAGCATTACCCTCACTTTTACATCTTGCAAAATGAGCCAATTATGAAATGTATGCGTCAAAGATTTCAATTTCAGGCTTGACTTTACTTTGAAAATTAATTTTTTACTTTATCATCTTTACGGGCAGCTCAGTGGACAGCCGATCTGAATGTTACTCATTGTTCAGTGATGTATAAAGTATATTTAATCAATTTGAAGAAAGTAATATTAAACTGTTATCAGCATCCTCAAATATTCTAAACATCTCAAAGAAAGGTCAAGAGGTAATATCTGTGCTAATAATATGAGAAAAAGTGTGTTTAACTCCTTCCTTTATATCAGAGTTTTGCACCAATCTAAGATCCCATTTGTCATAAAATATAATGAAAATATAGCAAGTGATTTTTCTCCAATGTTGGAGAAATACTGGCTATGTGGGAAGATTTTATTCCAATCTAATAAAATAAGCTAAAGTACAGATCAATGCCTTTCTAGGATGACAAACATTTAAAATGGTATTCTAAGGCAAGGGTTTAAATTATATAAAGTTGTATCCTGAGAACCATACTTCTTTGTAAAATATACTAAAGATTTAAATGTAATTAATTGTGTATACTAATAATTTAAATAAGGAATCACAAAATTATATTTAAGAAGCAATGTATGAACTTATTTATTTCAAAAGATATTAATAAAACTCAAACAAAAATATAAATTCAAAATAGACATTGATCCTCGAACTTTCTTTGTTATCAGAACTACTCATTATTTTCTCCTGTGCATAGCCTAAACCAGCAGAGCTCAAATTAAGTTCCTGACTTAGAAACTAAATGAATCTCAGTCTCTATTTTCATCTCCAAATATTGACATGGAAGCCCTTTTTAAAAATAATAAACACAGAATTCTCCCATAAAAAACATTCATAGTGAAGAAGACAAAAATCTGTAGAAATTTTTTTTAATTTAAGAACTTAAATTTAAAAATTTTTAGAAACCAAATGTATTTAGTGAGAAATATTAACAAGTTGTTCTTACTGTGTTTTCCATCCAAGTGACATGTTTGGACTGACTACAGTAAGTGCTCTGTTTCTATTCTTATCTCCATTCTTCAAAACTTTGAGCCTCACAGGGACATACTGCTGTGGGGTCTTACAGAAGGATTTCTTCATGGGAGGGCTGTTTGCCACAAGAAGTCCTTCTATTGGCCAATCAAATTCCTTCAGAAAGATATGACAAAAAAAAATCATAATAAGAAGAGTCTTTTCCAGATATTAAAAAAATATTAAACACATGACTTATACCTTTAATCTTTCATTCATTCATACAAAAATGCATGTAAAATGTTCCAGACAATTTTAATGTTTTATTTGATTAAATAGGAAAGACTTTAATTTTAAGATTATTAGTTTTTTATTTCTGAATGTAAAACCAGTGTTGTTACAACATGGAAGATTTATTCCCTTTCAGAGAAACATCATCTTAAAAAGTAGAACTGAATCAACTTAGAATAGTTTCTGCCGGTGTATGAAGTATCTTTAGTCAATGTGAGGAAATAAAGAATGTGTGAAAGTGGTTTTACAACAGCTTGAAAGTGTTATCTTAAATTAGATCTATTTGGCAAAGAAGGATATATTTGGGGAATACTCAAAAACCCAGCATGAGATGATAAAAGAACTTAAACTTCAGATGCTTCTGATGTAGAATTCAGTTACTTTGTATCTATTCACCTATATATTCATTTATTTAATTCACTCATTTTCTAAATATTGATTGTTTACTATATTCCAGGCACAGTGCTAGGCACTGGAAATAAAAATGTGAACAGAACAGGCTACTCTTCCTTAAGGAATTTCTAGTGGATCCTCAGAAGCTTACCTAGAAGGAAACTGGCAATTGATAGTGTAGGTGTAACAGCCACAGGGTACTGGGTGTGCTGGACCCACACAGGAGAACACAACAACCTAACTCCAGAAATTCCCTGTAACGGACTTGAAGCCTTTGTAGGAATTTGTGCCATAAAGGGGAGTTAAAAGAAGGGGCAGAGTGTTAAGTGTCAGACTTACATAATGGTGTTTGGGGGATAAAAGGAGGCAAGGATAGTTTCCAGGTTTGTAGGTTGGGCAGCTGGGTAGATAATATTGTGATTCACAGGAAAAGACATTTGTGGGAGAAGAGAAGTGAAGGAAGGGATGATCAGAGATGATCATCTGTTAGACAAGGTTCAAGCTCTTCTTTTTTTCTATCTGCATGAACAATTGTCCTCGCAGCAATTAATTCCCCATTAATCTTCAGTAACCATCTTATAAAATACCAAAGTTCCATATAAGCATGGGTGTGTTTCTGTATGTTATAGTTTCTTCAATTTATCAATTTTTCTATCCCTGTACAGTATCACACTGCCTTGGCAGTGGCTTTATACCTGGTTAAGTCTTGATGTCTGGTAAGTCAAGTGCCCCTACCTGTTATTGTGTGGAAATTGACTCTGTCCCTTGGATATTTCATATACATTTAAGAATTAGCTGAGAGAGTTTTTTAAAAGTCTGTGTGGGATATAAATGCTCTTTATCAGATTAAGTAACTTTCCATCAATCCCATTTTGTTAATTTTTTTTCTTGGATGTGTGTTTAATCATGTAACGCTCTTTTTCCTGCATGTATTGAGATGTACTAATGTGATTATTTATCCTTTCATCACCTGTATGTTAATTACAGTAATTGATTGTTTACATTTTCAATTAATCTTGCAATCCTGGATTAGTCCAAATCGGTCACAATGTAGTATCCTTTTTATAAACTGTTAAATTCAATTTGCTAATATTGTCTTTAAGATTTTTGCATGTACATTCACAGATGAAATCAATGTGTAATTTTTCTATACTATTCTCATCAAGGTTTGGTATCAAGTGTACCCTAGTTTCATAAATGAACTGTGAAGTGTTGTTTCTTTTTTATATTCTTTAATACTTGCCTCTTGTATGTTTGGTAGAACTTGCCAATTTAACTATCTGGTCATGGTGTTGTCTTTATTGGGGGATTTTAACTACTGAATCTATTTCTGCTATGATTATGGGACTATTTAGGCTTTGTTTCTTCTTGATTTCATTTTGTTTAGTTATTTTTGTCAAGGAATTTGACCATTTTATTTATCTAAGTTATAATATTTATTAGCGTAAAATTATTTATAATATCCTTTTATTATCTTCTTAATCTCCCAGTTCCTGTTCTCATATCTTTACTTTCTTTCTCATATTATTTAACTTTACTATATTGTTCTTAATCATTTTGGCCAGGTATATCCATTTTATTTATATATTCAAAAAACCAATTTTTACTTTGTTGATTCTGTTTTATACGTATCATGTATCACTTTCTGCTTCTATAATTATATTTCCTTCCTTCTAGTTCTTTGAGTTCATTCTGCTATTATTTTTATAACTTCCCAGGTTGAAGGATTATCTCATTAATTCTAAGACTCTTTTCATTTTCAATGTAAGTATTCAAGATTATGGATTTCCTTTAAGTACCGTTTAGCTGCATCCCACACATTTTGCTTTGGTTCTAAATATTTCCTTCTTAAGTTTTCATTATGTTTCCTTCTTTATCCCATGAGTTAGTTAAAATGTCTTTTGAATTCTCAATATTGGGTCTTTTCTGCTTATTTTTTAGTTATTTATTTCTAACAGTCTATCAGCAAACCCTACTTCTACTTTCAAAATGTATCAAGGGCCCATCTATTTTTCATCATCTCCATTCCTACTACCCTGGTCCACTAGTTTGTCTCACCTACAGATTGCAGACCTTCAAACTGCTAATTCCTGCTTCCACCTTAGCCCTTTTCACTCTATTATCATAATGATCTTAGTAATACTTAAGTCAGAGCACATCACTCTTCTGCTCTAAACCCACAGTGGCTTCCCATCTCAGAGTAAGAGCCAAAGGTTTCCTAATGGCCCACAAGGCCCTGCATGACCTGCACCATCTCTTTTCCCTGGCATCATCTCCTGCTGCTCTCCGCCTCACTCAGCCCACTCCTGCCATGCTTATCTCATTGTTCCTCAAAGACACCATCTCAAGTGTTGGCATATCCTGGAATGCTCTTTACCTAGAGCTGCTTGTTCTTCAGGTCTTTACTCAAACATCACCTCAATGAAGCCTTCCAGGTCAATCAAAAATTTCCAGATCCTGTCCTGCCCCATGCCCCACCAACATTCCCTATGTCTTATCCTTGCTTCTATTTTCTTCTTAGCTCTTATCACTAACATTCATGAAAGCATCTCATAAAATGACTGAGCGTGGGCCCAAATGCAGATGCCCTGCATTTCAATCTTTGATGCATAGCTCTAGTTGTATGACTTTGGGCAAACTTTTGAGATAGTAGCTGATGGATAATTCTTCCCTCTTTCTCCTCCAAGAGAAACCTCCTAAGATTGCTGTTTAAATGGCTTCTTGGAGGACAGCGTGATAAGCACATTCTCATACTGGCTCTCCTTCCTTCCCTTCTCGTCCTTCGCTGTTGCTCCCTGGGACCACACATACCAATAAATTAGTAGTACATAAGCCATATGTCTCAGGCTCTGCTTTCTATGTATCCCAAGCAAAGATCCATAATTCAAGTGAACTAAAAGCCCAAGAAGTTTCCTAAAGGGGATATAGGTAGTGACACCCAAAAGAGGAGACTTCATGTGGAGTAGGCAAAAAGCTTGGATAATCACAGCAGAGGTGGTCCCAGAGCCCAGCAGTGTCTAACTGACATGACAAAGATAAAGATACTGGGGGTCTGGGGAGATGTGCTGGCCTACTAGACAGATACAGATCAAGACACATGGCCTTTAGGGAAGAGGAGAACATTTTTGTAAAGCTAGCATAGTAAGTAATAACTTACTAACTTATATTTCCTTGAAAATTTTTTAGAACATTGCAATTATACTGAATAATCACATAGTTCAAGAAAATGTGTCTTAAATAAATTATAAAATCTGGAAGTGGTGAAGATTAAATATTCTGAAATGGCAATTACAATATAGTGATTTTCCCTTTATATTTTTAAAATCATGTTTTACTTAGTAAACATGTTAATAATAGTGGCATACAATAACGCTAACATCACGCTTCTAAATGAGCAAATTTTTAGTTAATGAAGTTTTATTGTATTCCTGACCTTCACTGAGAACCGTTTACCTATATGAAAATTAAATTCAAAGGGCAGACCATAAAGTGTTTATTTAGATATGTTTTTACTATTATGAAAGGAGAAACATGTGTCCAGTGTTCCTTACTATAGTTACTGAAAAGAAATACGAAATGTTATGACAAACTCATTGAATATTTTCATTTGAGACTTTCCTATTGTATTAAGATTTTGTTTAATGTGAGGGCTGGTGGATGCGCGGCATGGCATAACTTCCTCAAAAAGGAAGGACTCATTTATAACTTCTACACAAAGATACTAAGCAATTTGGAGCAAGTCAACTTACACTAGCTTTAGACATAAATGATCATGAAGCAAGGGCTGGACAGATGGGAGAGATGGGAAAGAATAGTCTTCCCATTAAAAAATTACTATCACACTGAAGTCTTGTTATAAATCACTAATGTTTCCCTTTTTCCCTTTCTGGACCACAACAGGGAAAGACAAAAGGAACAAGATGCTTCCTGGAGCTTAGTCTTTGAGAACTATCAATTCATGGACTTAAGAAGGGGAACTAAATTTTTTTCAATATTCCAAGCATGCTGTGTTTCTGATAAACTTATATGAAATGTGCTAGCTTAGCTGCTTGTTATTTTTAGGTCCCTTAATTCCTAGGCTTTCATGACAAGTAGTAGCCACTGCAGACATGGGCTTTAGCACCACTGTAGGGTTGTGCATTTCAGATGGCTTCCTTTGTTTTCCAGTTAGATGAAGGAAGCCCAAGGGTCTTCTCTTTTTAGTATGAAACATCAAGAAATACAGTTGAAGAGATGAAAAATTATCTTGGACTTCATGACTTTCCCAATGTATGAGCTATCACTGGCAGTTTTCCTTGAAGCTACTTTAAACCTTTTTCTGATGTTTGAGGCACTTTTACTTCATCCTTCATGCAAATAGAGAAATATGGTGCCAGGATAATGAAAGACAACAAAAATACAGATAATTAAGCTGATTGGGTGGCTGTTTTCACCCCTGCCGTTTTCTCCATTGGAATTCTTATGTTGCCATTCATTTCTTCACTGGTTTTCTC